TTGAATGTCTAGTTCCTCTGTTGAATGTCTAGTTCCTCTATTGCATGTCTAGTTCCTCTATTGGATGTCTAGTTCCTCTATTGAATGTCTAGTTCCTCTATTGAATGTCTAGTTCCTCTATTGCATGTCTAGTTCCTCTATTGGATGTCTAGTTCCTCTATTGAATATCCAAACTTGTGTTATGCACACGCGAGACCCGCATGTAACGGCCTGGCGAAGGAGATTATTTATTATTTCGTTTGCGATCATTTTGAAACATCAGGCTCCTTGTTAGTGAATCGGGACAATTCCCAGCTGGTTTATCGAAGTTTTACTGTATTTAAGTTTTTCATCATTCCTTAATCACAAAAAACAGCAGTTTTCTGTGATATCACACATTGTTTCTCTCGGACTTACGGTGTCAATTATTCTCTTTTATGCATCGTCATGGATGTGTGGATCTGAATTTCACACACACACACACACACACACACACACACACACACACACACACACACAGACACACACACACACACAGACACACACACACACACACACCACACACACAGATTCCATGCATTATCTGGCAACAGAAGGTGTCATTTTTGAAACTTATATTTCGTGTTAAATGGACAGAAAGTGTCATTTCTCCGTACACCTTTTCTGCTGGGTATGCCATCATCATCAAGTACACTGATAGGCGGCGTAGACACTCATGCCTCTCCCCAGATCACGTCCTGAGTCATTTGAAATAATTCCACTGATATTCTTCCATGAAATCGTTTCTTCTGTGTTGTGGAGTGTAGTGAACCATTTTATCCTGGATAAACTATGTCCCAGGCGGAATGACGTCGGCTAATCAATATGAATGGGATATTTGAGTGTAACAAGGGCAGTTACGTGAGTAACGGACAAAATGCTGTCCATATGAAACCCGTTTGAATCACGGACAAAATGCTGGCCAAATGAAACCCGTTTGAATCACGGACAAAATGCTGGCCAAATGAAACCCGTTTGAATCACGGACAAAAAGGAATTATTGAAGATTCCACATCAAATTATAGTACACATCTAGTAGAAGTAAAGAATACAGTTGGATCACTACATTTGGTTGTCGATTATAGAAAACTAAACCACATTTTTTATTTAGAAACTGAGCTATAACCTTCTTCAGATGATATCATACAATAGTTATACAACTCAACATTTTTTTTCAAAAATTGACCTTTCAAAAGGTTATTGGCAAATACCACCAACACCAGAAGCTGTGATATATACTATCTTTCATACTCTAATTGGACTAAAGCAGTGGCTTCGCTTACCATTCGATTTAATAAATGCTCCGAAGGGTTTGCTGGACTTTAATGGATAAAACTTTCTTTTCCACTAGACACCCGAACCAGCCAACCGAGGCCCGTCCCCCACGACGTTTCGCTTTTTCCAAAGCCAGCTCGAAGCCCTTCCAGCATCTTCGCCAGTTGTTTTAGTGATAGTTTGCGCTCATTTCTGCAAGTCAAGCTGCTTTATCACATTGTGCTTTGAAGTGGAGATGAGACCTCTTGCGCCTACCTCGACGGCGAAGATTCTTACTGTGTAAGCTTCGTCTCCCCTCAGGCCAGCCGCGAGGTCATTGTATTTCTCGAGCTTATACATATTCGTCCATTTGCGAGTCATACGGCACGGTCAGCTCAATAAGGATGAGCTGTCGTTTCTCTTCAGGGTGTAGGATTATGTCGGGTTGCAGGCCGGTCTTCCGGATTAACTCTGGGTACTTTTCGTGACCAGGCAGGTCACAGCCAGAAGAAGGCACAACGATTTAAAATCAATATTGCATTATCCTGTAAAACTGTTTTGTGTCTTCAGTTTTTTATTGAGGAAGATCTTATCCATGCCGATTCAGGGATATTCAAAAGCCAGCATCAGGATGAAGGCAGACAGTTAGGATTACGATTTCACAGAATGTGACAACAATGCTGGCATCCTTGATGTAGTAGAGCCACCCCTGATCTGGAAGTATGTGTACAGAAGGTCCAACAAACGGCGACCTGGACAAGATGTTGATGAAGTCTCCATTACCCGAGGCACAGGCAACGATGACCCAGGTTCCACAGGTTCCACTGGCCGACATGGCCACAGCCTTGTAAAATGTAGCGGTCCCAACAAGCTGACACTTTCCCCACTCATGTCAACACAGAGGCCGTAAACAGCTGCCAGAGCGATGACCGTTGGGACCATCAAGCCGAGACACAGTTACATCCCATCTCATTTTGACCCTGCCTCCAGTGATTGACAGACAGTAGCCAGCCGAGACGTCCACAGTGTAAGTTCTGATGCGGCTCCACGGCTTGATGTAATAGTCTTGGAGCCAGAGGGATACGTTCAAGTTATTGTTTGCAGTATTTTCGCTGGTGGCTGGCCACTGATTCTGGGTCGAAAGAACACCAATCGTGATCGAACTGGTAAGAAGGAAGCACACACAGACAGCCACACCGATACTATGTAAGTAGAATAGGATAATGATCAAAGGGCTCACAAGGAAGAACTACACATCTCTGGCCAGACATTCAGGTATGACCCATGCACATTTTCTCATCATTGAGCAAACTGTTGACATAAAGGAAATTTGTCACCCAGTACTTCCGCAATTGTCCCTGTGCACAGACCCCTTTGTGCTGCATGAGATTCGGAACAATCAACCGTATACGGAAGAATTAGTCGAAGAGGCTATCCTCTGAATAATAATCAGATTCTGTGTGATTGTGTAATTGTCCACAGTTTGTGCACTGCTGTCACCTAACATATACAAGAGCCGTGTTGGGCTCATGAAAAACTCAGTTTAAATCCCAAAAGTCAATGCCTCTAAGCACCCAGTATATTGTAACTAAGGTATCTATCGTCACTTCACTGCCTTGTTAATGTCACATTCCATGCGGGCCGGGAGACGTTCACCGTGTGTTAGTTACTGTATGGCTGCAACTCACAGCGCTGATAAAATCTTGATCTCTGCTGCCATCCACTGCGTTATCTGCCATGAATCCGACAGTGACAGGTCTGACCACTTCACAGTATTTAGTACCCTGTGTTGCATTATCATTCAGAGCGACATTTCCACCTTCGCTAACGCAGACTGTCCCGAGGTAACCATATGAATTGCAAGGTCACCAAGTCAGTAAAGCCGGATAGGTCACAGTGTATGGCTAGAGCACGTCCGGCTGCATATTTATATCTAGAGTTGGCCGTGGCTAGAGTTATGCTGGATGCGAACTGCTTCCGCTCATTGGTACAGGTAGCATTAGATCTCTTGTCCGACAATGACAGCCCCACGTCTTTGATGCTAATTGATCCATTTTCGGTCACTCTGGTGATTCGATAAACTTAATGTAGTATGTGTTTTGGTGTCAGCCAGACATGTATCATTCCTACCATCTGTCCCAACAGTTCCACAGCTAACTGCTAACAGCTCAACTAGCTGGAGGGAACGAATATCCACTCTGACCTGCGCGTAGACTTGCCTTCGGAATCACACGCGTCCATCAAAATATGTTCTTACACCGATCTCGAACCACATGATCTTGTTGTTTATTATAAATTATGGTCGGCTTTTGAGCTGAAATGATATAGAAAGATTCTGAAAATATCTTGGACGAAAAAGAGGAAAAATACTGACATCTTGAAAGATCTGAACATCAAGGAAGATTGGCTAATAAACAGCATCCTGTCTTGGAAGCTGAAATATTTTGGTCATTTCAAGCGCCCCAGCGGATTGGAAAAAATTATAGCAGAAGGCATGGTACCAGGAAGAGGAGCAGAGGCCGACCGACACGAAGATGGGCACAGGATATAAGTGACTCCTTGAATGTGAAAATGCATGAGGCGGGAGAATTGGCGAGAGACCGAGTTTCTTTCAGGCAGACTGTGACGAGAGCGACGCTCTGCAAAGGACCTGCTTCATGATGATGATGAAAAAACAGAACAAAAACCCTTTAGCATCTAGGCGCGGTCCGGCGCGTCGTTTAAAAAATATTTTTTTAATGAGTACCCATCAATAAATGTCTTTTTTTTATTATATATTCATTTTTTTTTACGCCTCAATGGTTGCCAGTCTGTTTATTTATGTGCATTATTGTCTTGTCTATTTATACAATTCATAGCGCTCTTTGTCTGGGCTTGTTGACGATAGTTTTCCTTTAATGTTCAAGGGTGTTTGTGGGAATACCTGGCACCCGTGGTGTGATGTACAGACAACCAAGTGTGGGAATTCCTGGCACCCGTGGTGTGATGTACAGACAACCAAGTGTGGGAATACCTGGCACCCGTGGTGTGATGTACAGACAACCAAGTGTGAGCAACAGCAGGACACGAAATGTTCTAATGTCGTCTGGCTGATTATTGTAAAGGGCAACAGATGTATACCGCCCACAGATGTATACCGTCCACAGATGTATACCGTCCACAGATGTATACCGTCCACAGATGTATACCGTCCACAGATGATGACGGACAGCGGTCAGTTTCTATTATACAAGAGTGATACACAAGTGGTACAAGAAGGAAACAAGAGTGATATAAGAGTGATACAAGAGTGGTACAAGAAGGAAACAAGAGTGATATAAGAGTGATACAAGAGTGGTACAAGAGTGGTACAAGAAGGAAACAAGAGTGATACAAGAAGGAAACAAGAGTGATATAAGAGTGATACCAGAGTGGTACAAGAAGGAAACAAGAGTGATATAAGAGTGATACAAGAGTGGTACAAGAAGGAAGCAAGAGTGATATAAGAGTGATCCCAGAGTGGTACAAGAAGGAAACAAGAGTGATATAAGAGTGATACCAGAGTGAAACAAGGCTGCCAGTAGCTCTAACCTATAAAATATCAATGACCAGAGCCAGCCTGCAGTTAACGACAACTTTTATTTTCACTTGAAGACTCTAAACATTGCATGTCATCATCAGATGGTCATGTTTGTGCATGATCACAAGTGTCTTCGGGTCGCCGGAACAGCTCCTTAAGATTTGGCTCCTTAAGATTTGGCTCCGACGTAATGTCCAGAGAAGGTTGTGTAGAGCTCGTCTGGTTTACCGAAGAGACCGGACAGTCTGTGAGCTCGGATGTCCACTCGGTCTCCGGCCATCACCCACAGTATCACCGAGTTTCCTGGACACAAAACACACGCCAAGGTTTTTCATCAACAGTCAGGCATCTGCATGTTACACTTACATTCAGACATTTTTAATTTACACTTACATTCAGACATTTTTAATTTACACTTACAGTCAGACATTTTTAATTTACACTTACAGTCAGACATTTTTAATTTACACTTACAGTCAGACATTTTTAATTTACACTTACAGTCAGACATTTTAAATTTACACTTACAGTCAGACATTTTTAATTTACACTTACAGTCAGACATTTTTAATTTACACTTACAGTCAGACATTTTTAATTTACACTTACATTCAGACATTTTTAATTTACACTTACAGTCAGACATTTTTAATTTACACTTACAGTCAGACATTTTTAATTTACACTTACAGTCAGACATTTTTAATTTACACATACAGTCTGACATAGTAATGTTACATTTACGACAAAATAAGGCCAACTGTCCCGGCAGTCACAGATCTTGGATTTACATTTACAGTAGGGCATTTTTGCTACGTCTATAAAATATAGGCCTAACCCTAACTGCTCTATGCGCCTACACGAGTGGGAAAGGGTTGTTGACTTTGTATTTATTGTTATTGTTACTAGACATTGGCAAACTTGATCTATTAGTTTACATTTACAGTAACCAAGTCTGGTTTTACATGTACAGTAACCCAATCTGGTTTTACATGTACAGCAAGATCTGTTGGTAAATATTAAATGTAACAGGAGCCTCTGTGGTGTAGCTGCTAGGCGTTCGCCTGCGGATCATTGGGTTCATATCCTGACGGAGCTTCACATGTTTGGTTACAAGGTAAAGTCACAGGAAGCAAAAGCACTAGGTGTGATGTTGTGCACATCAACCACCGAGTGCTGCTTTGTATAAAAATATAGGTCTAGCCCTATGTGCCTATTGTCAGTAAAAAGGATTCTTGACAGCGACATATCATTCTTCCTCTAAGTTGTCACCGGCTCTTAAGTTCGATAGAAAGTTCTAGTGTTTCGTCCACTCTTGGACTTTGATCTTGCTTCAAACCTTAAGTTTGGCGTGCAGATCCATTTTGCAGATCTATAGAGCTTATTCGTGGGCAGACTGTTTGTTTCTTGACTCTCAGGCAGAAGCACCCCAACTTTCAATGAAACAGATTTATTGGTCGCCTGCTACGGCAAGCATGTTTGGGGCAGTACGTCTTTCACCCCTTTGACACTCTCCCCAATAAAACACCAGAATTCACTCAGGAAGCAAGTATTCCGACACGAATGTGGGCGTATATTACCAATAACAGACTCCTCAAGATAGTGGCTGTACGTTAACAGTAACATATTCCAGCAGACATGTCAGTGCCACATGTACAGCTGGCAGCCGTGCTAGCGCAGTGACTAGACACTAGCCTGCCGACCTGAAAGACGGGTTTTCAAATCGTTCCTTGGCTGCCAGGTCTAGCAAGCCATATATGGTTAGTAGGAAGTGCCATAGAGAGAAAAGGTGCTGTGTTTGTCAGAGTGGCTTCTTTACTTGGCACCTTATGACAGATTAGATGAAGCTATCCACGGAAGAACAGTGGAAAACTGTCTTTGTGGAAATAGTCTTCTTTCTGAAACAAGGGGATCGTCAGAGAACTAGCCACCAATACGTCAGAGAACTGGCCACCAATACGTCAGAGAACTAGCCACCAACACGTCAGAGAACTAGCCACCAACACGTCAGAGAACTAGCCACCAACACGTCAGAGAACTAGCCACCAACACGTCAGAGAACTGGCCACCAACACGTCAGAGAACTAGCCACCATCACGTCAGAAAACTGGCAACCAACACCTCAGAGAACTGGCAACCAACACGTCAGAGAACTAGCCACCAAAACGTCAGAGAACTGGCCACCAACACGTCAGAGAACTGGCCACCAACACGTCAGAGAACTGGCAACTAACACCTCAGAGAACTAGCCACCAACACGTCAGAGAACTGGCCACCAACACGTCAGAGAACTAGCCACCAACACCTCAGAGAACTAGCCACCAACACGTCAGAGAACTAACCACCAACACGTCAGAGAACTGGCCACCAACACGTCAGAAAACTAGCCACCAACACGTCAGAAAACTGGCAACCAACACCTCAGAGAACTGGCAACCGACACGTCAGAGAACTAGCCACCAACACGTCAGAGAACTGGCCACCAACATGTCAGAGAACTGGCCACCAACACGTCAGAGAACTGGCCACCAACACCTCAGAGAACTAGCCATCAACACGTCAGAGAACTGGCCACCAACACTTCAGAGAACTAGCCACCAACTCATCAGAGAACTGGCCACCAACAAGTCAGAGAACTGGCCACCAACACCTCAGAGAACTGGCAACCAACACGTCAGAGAACTGACCAGCAACACGTCAGAGAACTGGGCACCAACACGTCAGAGAACTGGACACCAACACGTCAGAGAACTGGCCACCAACAAGTCAGAGAAATGCCTAACAACACGTCAGAGAACTGGCCACCAACACCTCAGAGAACTGGCCACCAACACGTCAGAGAACTGACCACCAACACATAAGAGAACTGACCACCAACACGTCAGAGAACTAGCCACCAACAAGTCAGAGAACTGCCTAACAACAAGTCAGAGAACTGGCAACCAACACTTCAGAGAACTGGCAACCAACACCTCAGAGAACTGGCCACCAATACTTCAGAGAACTGGCCACCAACACCTCAGAGAACTGGCAACCAACATCTCAGAGAACTGACCAGCAACACGTCAGAGAACTGGACACCAACACGTCAGAGAACTGGCCACCAACACGTCAGAGAACTGGCAACCAATACCTCAGAGAACTGGCCACCAACACGTCAGAGAACTGGCAACCAACACCTCAGAGAACTGGGCACCAACACGTCAGAGAACTGGACACCAACACGTCAGAGAACTGGCCACCAACACGTCAGAGAACTAGCCACCAACACATCAGAGAACTGGCCACCAACACGTCAGAGAACTGGCCACCAACACGTCAGAGAGCTAGCCACCAACACCTCAGAGAACTGGCCACCAACACGTCATAAACCTGTGTTGTAAGTCTTGCCAAATAAGCTGTGTGTGCTATTCTCTGCACAAGCTGTCAACAGTACACGCAAACATGATAAGTCACTTACCAACGATACCTATCACGCCAGGAGTCACTCTTCAATCACATATCGCCAACAATCACTCCCCAACAACACATCGCCAACAATCACTCCCTAGCAACGCGTCTCCAACAATCACTACCCAATCACACATCGCCAACAATCACTCCCCAACAACACATCGCTAACAATCACTCCCAAGCAACGCGTCTCCAACAATCACTACCCAATCACACATCGCCAACAATCACTCCCCAACAACACATCGCCAACAATCACTTCCTATCAACACCTCGTCAACAATCCCTCCATAACAAAACATCGCCAACAATCACTACCTAATTATACATCGCCAACAATCACTCCCCAGCAATACTCCTCAAACAATTACGCCTCGAAAACACATCTCCAACAATCACTGCCCAACAACGCCTCGCTAACAATCACTCCCCAACAATCACTCCATAAGAAGGCCCCGTCAACAATCATTACCCAACAATCGCTCCCCAACAATCACTCCCCAACAACAGACCACTCCCAGTTACTTCAGTCTGTGGAGAGATCAGTGCGCGATAAATTTGAGGTGACTCACCAGCAGCATCGAACTGGGTGCTGTTTTGCGCGTATGCGGAGACGATGAGGTCGTCGTTGTGGAACAGTTCCAACCAGGCTTCTTGGTTTTTAGTCTTCAAAAGGTGGAGGTGAAACAAGAAAAACCCCTCCTACGGAGACAAGAACACAGTCAACTAGTAATTGGGACATAAACCTCTAATTATGCAACCAACCCATGTGAACACACGTGTCTCTACCGATCTGCAGTTAGAACAGCTTGTGAAAACATTCAAATTCCACTACATGGCATTGGGCCAAAGGGCGAAAGCTCATGCGCCGCTGGATCGATAACAACAACAACAACCGATCTGCAGTTGGGCAGAGGTGTACGAGATTATCGCACTTCTTCTTCTTTGTTTACTGTGAGCTTTTAAAAGTCCTGGTTGTTCGTCCATCTAGACTTGTTTGTGTGCAGCTGGTTGATCTTTTCCGCTAGGGAAAATGCACTCCAACTTCGAAGGAAGTGCCTAGTTAGTCGAAACCTAAGACATGTTTGTTGTGGAGGCAGTGGGTCTGTTCTCTGGGATCCCCCAAAATGGGTTATCAGAACCTACACGGGGAGGTTATGTCACTATAAACGAATTCATTACACAATATATATATTGGTATTATTATACCATAAACCCCCAAAATTGCACAAGAAATCCGGTTATCACACAATAAACCTGGTTATCACACAGGTTTTAAAATAAACGAGGTTATCTCACAGTAAACCAGGTTATCACACAATAAACTCGGTTGTCATACAATAAACTAGGTTATCGGACAATAAACCTGGTTATCACCCAGTAAACGAGATTATCACATACTGTACCAGGTTATCACAAAATAAACAAGGTTATCGCAACATTTACTAGGTAATCACACAGAAAATAAGGTTTTCACACAATAAATTAGGTTATCACACAATAAACGAGGTTATCACACAATAAATAGTAAAAACGTTAATAGATTATGAAGCAGCTGTGCCTGAGAATACTGACTACAGTTAAAGAGATTTGGGATGCAATAGATAAACAATCAACACAAGATTACCGCTGGTGCCGTGAAGATTCCTGTTTTATTGTCATAGCCGAGGCCATGGTTGGTGATGGTGTTGTCGTACACCACGACTTGGTTGTTGTCGACGGTCTGACTGTGGCTCAAGGCAGCAGTAAATGCAACTGTCTTCACTGGGAAATAATAGGACACACGTGACAGCACACAACACGGGAATTCATGGTCACAGCTACGGAGTTCATGGTCACATTCAACCCACAGAAGTTCCTGGTCCCATTCACCACACGAGATTAGTGGTCCCATTCACCACACGGAAGTTTATGGTCACGTTCACAATACGGAAGTTCATAGTCACATTCACAACACGGCAGTTCATGGTCACATTCACAACACGGAAGTTCATGGCCACATTCACAACACGGCAGTTCATGGTCACATTCACAACACGGCAGTTCATGGTCACATTCACAACACGGAAGTTCATGGCCACATTCACAACACGGCAGTTCATGGTCACATTCACAACACGGCAGTTCATGGTCACATTCACAACACGGAAGTTCATGGCCACATTCACAACACGGCAGTTCATTGTCACATTCACAATGCTAGAGTTCATTGTCACTTTAACAGTTGTTGAGCTCATGGTCACATTCACATACGGGAGTTCAAAGTCACATTCCTGAAAGTGAAGTTTATTGTCATATTTACCACACGGGAGTTCAAAGTCACATTCAAATACGGTAAGTCGTGGTCACATTTACCACACGACATTTCATGGTCTCATTCACAATAGTAGAGTTCATCATCAGATTTATTATATGGGAGTTCAAGGTGATATTCACAATAAACGAACTGATGGTCACATTCGCATACAGGAGTTTATAGTCACATTCACATACGGGAGTTTATAGTCACATTCACATACGGGAGTTTATAGTCACATTCACATACGGGAGTTTATAGTCACATTCACATACGGGAGTTTATAGTCACATTCACATACGGGAGTTTATAGTCACATTCACATACGGGAGTTTATAGTCACATTCACATATGGGATTTTATAGTCACATTCACATATGGGAGTTTATAGTCACATTCACATATGGGAGTTTATAGTCACATTCACAATAGTGGAGTTCATGGTCACATTCACAATAGTGGAGTTTATAGTCACATTCACATACGGGAGTTTATAGTCACATTCACATACGGGAGTTTATGGTCACATTCACATACGGGAGTTTATAGTCACATTCACATATGGGAGTTTATAGTCACATTCACATATGGGAGTTTATAGTCACATTCACATATGGGAGTTTATAGTCACATTCACATATGGGAGTTTATAGTCACATTCACATACGGGAGTTTATAGTCACATTCATATACGGGAGTTTATAGTCACATTCACATACGGGAGTTTATAGTCACATTCACATACGGGAGTTTATAGTCACATTCACAATAGTGGAGTTCATGGTCACATTCACAATAATGAAGTTCATGGTCACATTCACAATAGTAGAGTTCATGGTCACATTCACAATAGTGGAGTTCATGGTCACATTCACATACGGGAGTTTATAGTCACATTCACATACGGGAGTTTATAGTCACATTCACAATAGTGGAGTTCATGGTCACATTCACAATAGTAGAGTTCTTGGTCACATTCACAATAGTGGAGTTCTTGGTCACATTCACAATAGTGAAGTTCATGGTCACATTCACAATAGTGGGGTTCATGGTCACATTCACAAAGTGGAGTTCATGGTCACATTCACAATAGTGGAGTTCATGGTCACATTCACAATAGTGGAGTTCATTGCCACAAAATATCAGCTGACACAATATAACACACAAATACTGAACATGCTGTAGTGTTGTGGTGCATGGCTACCTGAATCTAAGAACAGTAAAAAAATAAAGCAGTTAACTTGGAGACGTACAACGGCTTAATATTGTGTTTCAACTGAGTATCAGCAATGTCACATTTTAGTGATCTGTTAATTTCAGCAACACTCATGGCCAGACAGGCGTGAAAGTCTTGAACAGCAGTCATTCGACATACAGTGTTACACCAAGGGCAGTGTACAGATGCCTTCCAGCCAGCCAGTCTGTTGTGTCGTTGGTGTTTGTTGTTGCTGAAAATCTGGCACGGCGTCGAGGCTAGATGGTGGGCTCATTGGTCATCCAGGACTCGCTGTTTGCGTTCAGCAATGTCAAACTACACAACTATGAGTGACCGGTGAGTCTGTCTTACTACTGACCTGCGGGTTCTTGGCTATTATCATCGTTATCATCATCGCTGTGTTTTACTATGGCTGTGCCAAATGGAACATTCTACCAGTCCCTAGGTAATTGGATTACTCTGTGTGTATTCCTGACCATGGCAGCTCTGATGTCACATCTCCACTGTCGAGCCGGTCAACCTATGCCTCTTCAGCGAAGAATACGCCGTCATACGGGGATATAATAGACTCAATACTTTCCTTTTTTTTTTTTTTTTTTCTGAGACTTTGTTTCCTCACTTTTGCAGTTGGTGTAGGATGTTATGTTTAACAATTGTTTTCCGTTGTATTCAAATGATTTTTGATAAAGATTACAGTTCAGAAGCTCCCAGTTCTCTTCAATGGTTGTACAAATATCGCTGCCTGAGGTATATGAGTTGCACTTTTGTATTTTATGACAACTAATGGCACTGTCGCATGTCCAGACAACCGGTGGCACATTTGCATGTCCTGATAACTGGCGGAACCGTTGTTTGTTATGTTGCAATTTCCTTCTACCTAAAGGCCTCTAATTTTTTATCCTTTCCATTTTTGTTGGAGACCATTATCCACACACACAAAATCTTTCAGTGAAGGTTAAAAAAAAAAACATTATTACTGACACCTGGCTGTTGTCCTCGCTATTGAACTTACAGGCACATTAATAATGGACCCCTGCCTGTGGTATTTACAGGCACATTGATAATAGACCCCTGACTGTGGTACTTTCAGGCACATTGATATTGGACCCCTGGCTATGGTACTTACAGGCACATTGAGAACTGACCTATGGCTTTGGTACTTACAGGCACACTGTCCGTGGACTAGGCTCAACAAGCCCAGACTGATGACAGCGGTCAGCAACATGGCACTAGAAGTCTGGGAAACATCATTGAGGCATTACAGGAGAGACATCAGTTCGCTTGTGTTGGGGTATTTGGTGCGAATCTACACGTGTGTACGTGTGTGTGTGTGTGTGTGTGTGTGCGTGTGTGCGTGTGTATGCGTGTGTGTGCTGTGTGTTCGCGCGTGTGAGTGGGTATTTGGTAGAAATGTGCACTTTTTAATGGTTTTTGTGGGTGTGCTTGTGGGGGTATTTTGTGGGAATCTACATCTGTGTAGCCGTAATTTTTCAGATATATATCCAATTATGTTGTCTAAAGATGTTACACAGATAAGAGTATGTTGTATAAATGTAATACACATATCTAAGATGCAGCACGTTGTGTAGATGTGTTACATATGTCCGAGTATGTTGTCTAGATGTGTTACCTTTATCCAAGTATGTTGTCTATATGTGTTACATATAATTAAGTATGTTGTCTAGATTTGTTACACATGACCAAGTATTTTGTCTAGATTTGTTACATATGACGAAGTATGTGGCCTAGATGTGTTACATATATCCAAGTATGTCGCCTAGATGTGTTACATATGTCCAAGTATGTTGCCTAGGTGTTTTACATATAAACAAGTTGTTGTAATGACGCAAGTGTTACCGTAGTGAGATGAACATTACTAGAGCGCTGTGAGGCCCAGTGTTAGGAAAAGTAGGCCAGGATAGATGGTCATGAGATGAGCATGATTGTGACATGGGCTGACTGACTGACTGACTTTCTACCCCACTAGGACATCACACAAGCGACAAACACCCGATGACACAAAGTGCCACCATGCGGATGAGGATCGCCGTGGAGAGGTCCCAGAAACCGCGTTCAGACATTTGGCCATATGTATGGCCTGCCTACATTGCGGCCCCTGGCAAAAGCTAGAGTAGGGCTTCAAATGACAAAAAATTTCGTCCTAAAAAGGTTAATCTGATCCCTATTATAACTATACATAACTGAACACACGAGTAGAAGGGTGAAAGAACCGAACTTGAATCTATGTTTGGCGCTGGAACGAGAAACACGGAAGTGTGAGTATGAGTGCGTCTGAAGACTGAGTTTGTCCATGTAAGTAATCTTTACCCCACCAGGACATCACACTGAGCTATAAACACTCGGTGACACAAAGTGCCACAATGTGCATTCGGATCACCCGTGGAGAGGTCCCGGAAACCGCGTTTAACCGTTAGGCTGTATTGCGTCCCCTTGCAACAACCAGGGTAGGGCTTATGAATAACGAAAAATTAAATCCCAAAAGAGGAAGACGATTTACAGTCTGTCCAAGCAGCTGCAGCGAAGATAAATGCCTGGCTGTTTTCTTGTGTAGATGGAAGCCTGCAAACCGCCATCTACAAACTGTTCTTTTTACTTTTGTTAAATACTTGGTATGTCTGTAAATAGCCCCGCTCCCCCCCCCCCCCCCGCCAATAACCAAATCAGTTGGAGAAATATTACAAAACGAGTTACTGCATGAACGTATCTCTCATCAACAACGCTCCAGTCACGTATATGAGATTGCTAAACTTCTAGACAAGAACATATGCTAAATTACCTTCCAACTTTCACTGTCCGGTCTACAACTTTCACTATCCAGTCTACAACTTTCACTGTCCGGTCTACATCTTTGACTGTCCGGTCTACAGCTTTCACTGACCGGTCTACAGCTTTCACTGTCCGGTCTACAGCTTTCACTGTCCAGTCTACAACGTTCAATGTCCGGTCTACAACTTTCACTGTGCGGTCTACAACTTTCACTGTCCGGTCTACAACTTTCACTGTCCGGTCTACAACTTTAACTGTCCGGTCTACAACTTTCACTTTCCAGTATACAACTTTCACTGTGCGGTCTACAACTTTCACTGTCCTGTCTACAGCTTTCACTGTCCAGTCTACAACTTTCACTGTCCGGTCTACAACTTTCACTGTCCGGTCTAAAACTGTCACTTTCCAGTATACAACTTTCACTGTCCGGTCTGCAACTTTCACTGTCCGGTCTACAACTTTCACTGTTCGGTCTACAACGTTCACTGTCCGGGCTACAGATTTCACTGTCCGGGCTACAACTTTCACTGTCCAGTCTACAACTTTCACTGTCCGGTCTACAACTTTCACTGTCCGGTCTACAACTTTCACTATCCAGTCTACAACTTTCACTGTCCGGTCTACAACTTTCACTGTCCAGTCTACAACTTTAACTGTAAGATTGGATGCAATCAGTAAAATCCGGTCTACGTTTGTTTCAGGTATTGTTGGTCAGCAAAATATTTCCACAGTTGTCCCAGTCAGCGAAATATTTCCACAATTGTCCTAGTTGTCCCAGTCAGCGAAATATTTCCCTAGTTGTCCAAGTCAGAAAAATATTTCCCCAGTTGTCCCAGTCAGCACAATATTTCCCAAGTTGTCCCAGTCAGCAACATATTTCCCTAGTTGTCCCAGTCAGCAACATATTTCCCCACTTGTCCCAGTCAGCAAAATATTTCCATAATTTTCCCAGTTGTCCCAGTCAGCTAAGTATTTCCACAATTTTCCCAGTTGTCCCAATCAGCGAAATATTTCCAGTTTCCCCAATTGTCCTGGTCAGCAAAATATTTCCAAAACTACCCCAGTTGTCCCAGTCAGCAAAATATTTCCACAATTTCGCTAATTGTCCCAGTAAGCGAAATATTTCCACAATTTCCCCAGTTGTCCCAGTAAGCAAAATATTTCCACAATTTCCCCAATTGTCCCAGTCAGCAAAATATTTCCAAAACTACCCCAGTTGTCCCAGTCAGCAAAATATTTCCACAATTTCCCCAGTTGTCCCAGTAAGCAAAATATTTCCACAATTTCCCCAATTGTCCCAGTCAGCAAAATATTTCCTCAATTTTCCCAATTGTCCCAGTCAGCGAAATGTTTCGCTTCTTGTCCCGGTCTGCATGTGAGAAAATGTCGAAGAACGCTGGTCTCTGAAGCATAAGTGAGACATGTTCTGACTTGATGGCTGTTTATAGAAATCGCTGGACAATACCTGTGACATTGTTTGTGCCGTCTACGAATACAAACATTCTTCTCAAATTTCTGACCTTTTCTTGATTATTCTTCTTCTCCTAATTATCCTCAGTAATAATTTAATTGTTCACTTGACATGTAAGACTTCTTCTGACATGTAAGACTTCTTCTGACATGTAAGACTTCTTCTGACATGTAAGACTTCTTCTGACACGAAAGACTTCCTGTGACATGTAAGACTTCTTCTGACATGTAAGACTTCTTCTGACATGTAAGACTTCTTCTGACATGTAAGACTTCTTGTGACATGTAAGACTTCTTCTGACATGATCTTGGCATTTGTGAAGCCTCAGAAATCTTTGTCAGATATGCATGTGCAGTTGTTCAGATCACTAGGCATGTAGACAATGTAACGCAGATAGCCCTTAGAAAAGATGTCGATATTTCAGTTCGCAAATCTGTCACTTTCTTAAGTGTCCCCAGTATGATCTTGTCTGGCCCAGAGACTATTGCTTTCTTCATGAAGTATATTTACTCGACCCGTGTAGCCAGTAATCCGTGACCTTTACCGCTGTTGGGAAATAGACCATTGAAACAGATGAAAGAGATGTATAAATACAACACCTGAAATACTTCGTCAAGCTAAATGTTGCCTTTGAAACTGACTCCACAGAGAATACGTCACATACCTGATAAGATACAAGGATAAGGTTATTGGTGACGACCCGGTTTCCTGTTGTTGATGAGGTTTTATAGGACACGGCTCTCACCGACTTATCTATCTCATCGACACCACAGCTCCCGCGATGACAAGTTTAGATTTGGTCAATGTCGTAAACAGCGGATGCTGGTCGATGGTTGATGTTTTGTGTGTGGTCAGGCAACAAGTGGAGCATCTGTGAGAGCGGTCAGAGGTTAATTAGATGTGCAAATTATAGGGACTGATTGAACTCACAAAGTAGTGGAATATTTCAGCTTCGATCCAACAACAGCAGCATGTCCGTTGTCTATTAAAAATCTATCAATGTGTTTGATGGACAGACAGTGTCAGCTGTGTATTAGACATATGTCAATGTGTTGGATGGACAGACAATGTCAGCTGTCTATCAGACATATGTCAATGTATTGGATAGACAGATATTGTCAGCTATGTATCAGATCATGTCAATGTGTTGGATGGACAGACAGTGTCAGCTGTGTATCAGACATATGTCAATGTGTTGGATGGACAGACAGTGTCAGCTGTGTATTAGACATATGTCAATGTGTTGGATGGACAGACAGTGTCAGCTGTGTATCAGACATATGTCAATGTGTTGGATGGACAGACAGTGTCAGCTGTGTATCAGACATATGTCAATGTGTTGGATAGACAGACAATGTCAGCTGTGTATCAGACATTTGTCAATGTGTTGGATGGACAGACAATGTCAGCTGTGTATTAGACATATGTCAATGTGTTGGATGGACAGACAGTGTCAGCTGTGTATTAGACATATGTCAAAGTGTTGGATGGACAGACAATGTCAGCTGTGTATTAGACATATGTCAATGTGTTGGATGGACAGACAATGTCAGCTGTGTATCAGACATATGTCAATGTGTTGGATGGACAGACAATGTCAGCTGTGTATCAGACATATGTCAATGTGTTGGATGGACAGACAGTGTCAGCTGTGTATTAGACATATGTCAATGTGTTGGATGGACAGACAGTGTCAGCTGTGTATTAGACATATGTCAATGTGTTGGATGGACAGACAATGTCAGCTGCGTATCAGACATATGTCAATGTGTTGGATGGACAGACAATGTCAGCTGTGTATCAGACATATGTCAATGTGTTGGATGGACAGACAATGTCAGCTGTGTATCAGACATATGTCAATGTGTAGGATGGACAGACAATGTCAGCTGTGTATCAGACATATGTCAATGTGTTGGATGGACAGACAATGTCAGCTGTGTATCAGACATTTGTCAATGTGTTGG